TTGCCGCAGCACTGGTTCGTAGAGTCTACGAAGAGGTGCGAAGTGTGCTCCGTAGACGATCGACAATGCAGTCTGCACCTTCGCTCGTAGGCCTGCTGGAAAATCGATTCTGGGGCAAGTCAATTCTGTAGTCGATCGATCCCCTACACTAGGAGCTTGACCATAAGAAACTTGCCACAGGAAACCCAACCCTGAGACCCCAGGGCGCCCATTGATTGTTGGTGTGGGAACGTCACGCTTTGCACAGCAAAACCATCGAAACCCAAGAAACTCAGGGTACCCTGGAGGCAAGCAGGGTGTTCCTTGGCATGGGTTTCCACTTTACAGGATTGATGTATCCCAAAAATGAGTGCTCTCGCCAAAACAATGGAAACAAACTTTCTCGTGAAACGCTTGTGGAACGAACCTTCTGCGCACGATGCATGGATTCGACGAGCAACCAAATCCTGGTGTAACTCAATGATGTAGCCAAAATCCCATACTCGAAACTTAGGGCTTCTGAATAGTCCCGCCGCGTCGGTCGCATGAGCGCCCAAGGCGGCCCAAGAGCCAGCGCGAGATGACTCTGGGATGGGGCCCCAAAAAGGCCCCCGAACGGCCGCCCGAAGGAACCCAAACGAGCACGCGACTGCCGCACCGCTGGAAGCCACCTCCCCCGTGATGGTCCCGAGACCCCACAAGAGGCCCACTAGAGGCCCAAAGACGCAAGGCCCCCTCCTCCTCCACCTCCACCTCCATCTCCTCCTCCTCCTCCTCCTCCTCCTCCTCCTCCTCCTCCTCCTCCTCGTCCTCCTCCTCCTCCTCCTCCTCCCCCTTCCACCCAAGTGGGCCACATAGGCCACGGGAGACCCCAAAAATCACCCCAAATGTCCCAAAGGCCCTTAGAACACGACCCAGGTGCAGTGGCGGGATGGGCGGAAGACCGTCGTAGTTCGGCTCCCGCTTGAACACACATCACTGCCATCTGCCCTCTTATCACCTTCCCGCCTCTTGCGGCCAAGCAAGTCATCTCTCAGCGTCAGCAGAACGGGTCGCGAGACCTTTGCGATACAATCATGCAGACGCGGAAAAGTCCGTGGCGAGGGAGGAGGGAGGAAGTGAGGATGGCGAGTGCGGAGGCGAAGGCCAACCCGTGCGGGCGCTGCCCCGCGAAGCCTCCCAGGAAGTCTGGAGGAAGCCTGACGTCTCGCCCCCCTCTCTCGCTCTCGCTTTCTATCGGTCTCTCTCTCTCTCTCTCTGTCTCCTCTCTCTCTCTCTCTCCCTCTCTGGGTTTCCCTCTCCCTCTCTCTCTCTCTCTTTCTCCCTCTTTTTCTCTCTCTCTCTCTCTCTCTCTCTCTCTCTCTTCCCCTCCCCCTCTCGCTACCATCCTCTCGCTTTCTGTTGTGTTGCCTCTATCTCTCTCTCTGTCCCCCTCTTGCCCGTTCTCATCCGTTCGCTTCTTCCCCGCAGACGCGGGGCAGGGAAAAGTGCAAGGCCTGGCGAGCCGAAACAGGAGACACCCAGGGCAGGAGACGCCCACCGCTGCACCAGGCACACGCCGCTCTCCCCTGGCGCTCCCCTCCCCTCTTGAGCGTGTCCGCCTCCGCCTCTACCTCCACCTCGGCATCCCCCCCCCCTCCTCCCTGCGCCGTGATTGACGCTGCCCACACAGGAAGAACGAGCCTGTTGCGTCGGCCTCCTCCTCCTCCTCCTCCTCCTCCTCCTCCTCCTGCCCCCCCTTCCGCCTGCGCCCCCCCCCCCCTCCTCCTCCATGCTCCTTGTTTGAGGTGGGTTTGAGGTGGACCAGACAGAAAGAACGAGCTTGTGGCGTCGACCTTCCCTCCTCCTCCTCCTCCTCCTCCTCCTCCTCCTCCTCCTCCTCCTCCTCCTCCTCCTGCTGCTCCTCTCTCCCCCTCCCCCTCCTCCTCCTCCTCCTCCTCCTCCTCCTGCCCCCCCCCTTCCGCCTCCGCCCCCCCATCCTCCTCCCTGCTCTGTTTGACGTGGCCCAGACAGGAAAGGCTCCTTGCTTGACGCAAGGAGGAACGAGCCTGTGGCGTAGACCTTCCTCCTCCTCCTCCTCCTCCTCCTCCTCCTCCTCCTCCTGCTCTTCCTGCCCCCATTCCGCCTCCGCCTCCCTCCCCCTCCTCCTCCTGCTCCTTGTTTGACGTGGCCCACCCAGGAAGAACAACCTATGGCGTCGACCTTCCCTTCCTCCTCCTCCTCCTCCTCCTCCTCCTCCTCCTCCTCCTCCTCCTCCTCCTGCTCTTCCTGCCCCCCTCGGCCTTCCCTCCTCCTCCTCCTCCTACTCCTCCTCCCTCCTGCTCCTCCTGCCCCCCTTCCGCTTCCGCCTCCGCCCCCCCACCCCCCCCCAGTGTTTGACGTGGCCCCGACAGAAGAACGAGTCTGTGGCGTCGACCTCCTCCTCCCTCCTCTCCTTCCTCCTCCTCCTCCTCCCCTCCTCCTCCTCTCCTCCTCCCTCCTCCTCCTCCTCCTCCTCCTCCCCCTCGTCCTGCCCCCCCTTCTGTTTCTGCGGCGCAGCGATCGGTCGGGGGGCCGAGGGAGAGGGCTCCCGATCCTGCGGACGGCAACTGCGCGCGAGTGGCCGCCCTTCGGGAGGCCGCCGCGCGAGCGCGAGCCCTTGGCTCGCCCGAGCTGGCAGGATCGAACAATAACTTCTCGTGGGCCAAAGATTTTAAATCCGCTGGCCCCCAGGGAGAGGCCTCATGTGAAGGGCGAGGGGGCGACGGGGGAGGGGGAAACAGGAAAACATGCTTGCTGGGGGGGGGGGGGGGGGGCGGAAGTGAGGAAGAGGAGAGGGGAAGCAGGAGGGGGAGGAGAAGGGAGAAGGAGGCGGAGGAGGAACAGGAGGAGGAAGAAGGGGGATGAGTAGGAAGAGGAGGAGGAGGAGGAGGAGGAAAAGCGGCAGCGTCTAAAGACACCAATGCCGTCAGCAGTCAGGAATCAGGAGGAGGAAGAGAGGGAAGAAAGAGGAGAAGAGGAGGAGACAGGAGAAACAGGAGAAGATGAAACAAAAAAAGGGAAGCAGGAGGGAGAAGGGAGAAGGGATGATAGGGGGGAGCAGGATTGGAGGAGGAAGTGGGGGGAAAGACAAGGACAATAGAACTACAGAAAAGAACGAAGGATTGAGGCGGAGAGGAAAGATAATAAAGGAGAGAGAAGGAAAAGAAGAACAGGAGGGAGGAGGGAGAAGGGAGGAGGAGAGGAGAGATCAGGAGAAGAGATGAGAGAAGGGAGGAAAGACGAGAAGGAGAAGAGGAGAGTTGGAAAGTGGACGAGACAGGAGGACGGAGGGAGGAGAAGGACGGAGAAGGAAGGAGTAGCAGGAAGAGCTAGACACTTCCACCTGCTCACAAATCTTCTTTGAACCAGATGGCACCCAGGCGGGGGAGGAGATTCTCGAAAGTTCCAATGCTTCGTGGATCCTCCTAGAACCCGCTGGCTCAAGAGAAAGACCCGTTTGGAGGAGGAGGAGGAGTCCGGGAGAGAGGGGGGGAAGAAGGGGGAGGAGGGAGAGCAGGGGAAGATGGGGATCACGTAATAATAAGGATGAATGCAACACCAATCGCAATCTGACTAGTGATAATAACTGCTGCGCCACTGTGCCGCAGAGGCCCCCAAGATGCCCCATAAGAGGCTCCCATCCAAGAGCGCCTCTTGTCCGCGACTTGAGCACGGTGGCGGCATGGCCCGAAGGGCACAAGATCCACCGCCCCCGCAGCCTGCTGGAGGGGCGCTTGGTGTGCCGAAGTTTGAGACGTTGATCCTCTTGCCAGGGCTCGACCAAATCAGTGGGTTGTCTTTGCCCTCGTGTTGTCTTCACTCCGCCTCCGCTGTAAAACGAAATCAAAAAAGAAGACGGCCCACGAAATCGACAAAACACCGCTCAGGTCGACCCCATGCTTCCTGCCCTCACCAACAAATCAAAAAGGCATTCGGCCCGACCAGCCGGCCACCTGGAAGGACTCCCGTGCCAGGAGAATCCGCCTCCAGGAATCCCCCAGGCTCGCCGCCGACAGAGTCCTGAAATGAGAATCGTTTATCCGACCCCCATCCCCAGCGGCGTGGCCTGGGCCCCACTGGCCGATGTGACCCCCTAGATGGGGATATAGGCAGTTCCCTTCGGGTTTCGACTGCGGTGGTAATTTGGGGGGGGTCTCGAAGGGAATGGGGATGGGGATGGGGATCGGATAGGCGATACCGATGAAACGCGGGCTTGTGTTCAGAGTTCGAAGGATGCCTGCAGCCAGGTGAGCCCCGGCGGGAGTGTCCGACGCCCCAGCGACGATGGGGCCGGCAGAGGCAGGGTTCGCAAAAGTGGTCGCAGGTACTGGACACGGGGGTGGAAGAGGAGGGAACAGCGGCAAGCAAGATGGTGCCCTGCACTTCCAATCTGAGCTCGAGCACAGGGGGTCGGCGGCTTTCTCGGACGCAGAGAACAGGTGCGACAAACGCCATGCTGCCGGAAGGCGTGCACTGCGCCTTTGAGCGCCGGGTGGCTGACAGTGTTCAAATTGAAGTCGACGGCACGAACGATGCAGAAGGCACACGCGTTCAACTACGTACTCCTACGCTGGAGGCCTCCTAGATGGGGTCGGAGTAGATGGGGTCGGAGGATCGCGCCGCATCGCCGATACATTGGCGATGCATCGGAGATGTATCAGCGATGCATCGGCGATGCACTGGCGATGCATCGTCGACGTCGGCGATGACTCGGCGACGTCGACGTGAAGCAAACCGGGCTCCACATCGAGCCGCATCGCCGATGCATCGGCGATGCGGCGCGATCCTCCGACCCCATCTACTACGACCCCATCTAGGAGGCCTAGATACGCTCGGTCTCGGAGAGATGAAGGCCTGCATCGCTCGCCCTCGGCTTGCATGTCTTGCATGTATGGACATTGCGCCGACTTTGAGCGCACTTCATGGCGTTAACCTAAGCATGCAGTGGCGAACAAGCTCCGGGGAGCGCAAAAAAGGCATGCCAACGCCCCCCATCGCCCTCAGAGGCGTCCAGGTAGCTCGCCAGTCCCCGCCTCGGAGATCTCCGCCTCCTCAGGGAGGGCGTCAACGACGAGGTAAGGGGTAGCGAGGGAGGAGGCAGATCTGTTTCCCTCCACGAGGGAAGATCGGGAGGAGGCAGAAGGGAGAACGGAGAAAGGAGGAGCGTAAAAAGGAGGGGGACGAACTACTGGTCATCACGAGCACGTCTGCACTGTGCGCGCATGTTGGTCCAATGTCCTGCCCGTTGGCCTAGCACACGTGCCTTCAGATGCATCAGAAAGAGAGACGAGGTGGAACGAAAGGAGAGAGAGAGAGAGGGACGCAAAAAGGAAGAGCAGCAGGAGGGAGAGTAGACGGAGGGAGAGGAGGCGGAGCAGGAGGACGAGGAAGAGGAGAAGGAGGAGCAGGAGCAGGAGGAGGGAGAAAAGGGGGTCAGCCTCCTCAGCCTCCCCTCCCTCCTCTTCCACATCAACCTCCTTCCCTTCCCTCCTGTTCCTTTACCCTCCTCGCCCTTGTCCTCGTCTCCCTCGTCGCCCCAGCACCGCTTGCGCGTGCTCCCGCGCACGCGTGCGGGGAGAATGCCGTCGTCGCTCTCGACTACAAGAGAAGAGGGGGCACAAGAAAAAAAAACAAAAAAAAAAACGGGAGGATAACGTCGACGACGACGTCCGCGTCGCCGATGTCGCCTCGGACGTTTTTTGTTGCGCTCTGGGGGGTTCTCGTCGCCACGGCTGTGGGCGCAGCTCGAAGTCCGCCACGGCGCCTGCACGCCGAGGCGTGGAAGAATGCCACGGGCTGCCTGGCAGGGCGGACCCCCCCCTCACCTTACCAGCCTCGAACGTATCCCTATCCCTAAGATTGACACGCCAAAACGCGATGACAATCTTAGGGATTCGCGCTCAAAAAAAGAAGGGAATCCCTAAGATTGGCATCGTGATGAGGAGATGCCCAGCATAGGGATAGGGATATGTTCCAGGCAGGTAAACACCCCCCCTCGGTCACGCATCCCTGACTGCATTGCCCGTTTTACCGGGGGCCCCAGAAGGGGAACCAAGGATAGCTCAAGGGAGCCCCAAGACAGCCCCAAGAGGGGTCCCCCAAACCGACAAATCGGGCCGTCCGCCCGAAGAGGCCCCAGGAGGCCCCAAGAGGCTTCCAAGAGGCCCCAGGGGGCTCCCATGAGGCCCAAAGGAAGCCCCAAAGAGGCCCCCAGACGGCCCCAAAGAAGCCCCTGCGCTCGACAGGCCCCCAAGAGGCCCCCGCGATATTCCAACTAACATCCAAGGTCTATCAAGCACAAGCGGCGGGATCTGCCGTAGACAGCTGAGTGCCGATCAGGATGGACCCACGGAGGCGCCTGGGTATCGAACTTTGTCGGATGTAGGTCAAACGACGGACGACGACGACGACGACGACGACGACGACGACGACGACGACGACGACCCAGACCAGCGGCGGAGACAGAGAGGGGGAAGGGGAGGAGGAGCGGCAACGAGAATCCCCCCAGCACTCAGGGCGCAGGTGGTTCAAAGAACGTTCGTCCGCGTCGTGCCAACAAAAACCCTCCTCAAGGTGGCCCAAGATTGCCCCAAGTGGGTCCCGGAGAACCCGCGATGGCCCCCAAGATTGCTCAAAGACATCTCAAGATGGCTGAAGATAGCCCCCGACAAACGTCTAAGGGGCCACAAGACGGCCCCACGACGACTTCAAGTGCCCTCCGAGAGCCCCAAGGACCCCAAAAGAGGCTACAGTGGCTCCAAGACCGAGGGACATCAATGTGGCGTGCCGTCTCGCCCTTTCGCTTTTGATGGGCCCTTGCGCCCGCCAAAAAAGCCCCAGGATGGGCCCAAGAGGGCCGCAGGAAACCCCCAGGAGGGCCCCAAGAGCGCCCAACAGCGCCCAAGGAGCGCCCCAACGCAGCCCCAAGACGCGATTTTCGAGCCTCCCAAGGCTGGACCTGCATCTCCTCGCCGCCTTTTCATTGAAAGCTATTGGGGACAATATGGCCCCAAGAGGGCCCAAGAGAGCCCCAAGGGGGCCTCAAAAGTGCCCCAAGAGGCTCTGCGAGGACCCCAAAAGACCCCCAATATCGGCCCGAAAGACCTCCAAGAGAAAACTTCCAAGGCACCTGTTACACTGCTTGCACTTCCTTGATCAAGGCAACTCGCCTTGCGACCTGTTTTGGGGTGGGTTGGCGGGGATATTTTTTGGTCTGCGGGATAGCGAAGCAGGTCGAAAGCCGTCCGAACACGAGTCGGGCGGCGACTAGGCAGCAAGAAAAGAGACGCAAGCGAAGCGAGCGCGCGGGCAGCCACTCAGAAGAATAGCCAGAAAACGAAACTCCCAACCCGGTGGCGTGGAAATTCCGGTGGCGCCCAGCAAGTAACCGCAGCCCAAATGGCGGGGCGGCGCGACCATAAGCACGCAAAGGACAATCACTCGACGTGAGTCGGCACAAGGCACCGTCAGAAACGAGCCAGACCGACAGGCACACCCGGACGACGTCCGCGCCGTAGGCGACACAACTGCATCGTGTCAGCGCAAGAGTGAAGAAAGGCAACCTCGTCACAGATAGGACTGCAAACGGAAGTACATCTTGTTTGCACACCAGTGGCACATGTCGAAAGCGAAGTCCTTGCAAGAGAAAACAGCCTACGAGCGCACAGAGCCACACATACCGAAGTTTTTGCACCGTGGAGGTCGGCAGCGCAGCGAGACCCCACTGAACCCTTGCGGTCACCCGTGGAGGCCGACACCAGCCAGGAGCAGGCCAGGGGCCACCTGACCGCCCATTCCCAATGTGATCCTCGCATGGAAATCAGGCTGTCAGAGCACCATCAGACAGCGGCATTGGCGGCAATCCGAGCCGCGTGGGATAAACCCGGCGAATCAAAAGAGAGGAGGGGATGTGCACGCCAGGCACGGTAGGCACCCCGGCGCGGCAGCTAACCGCTGCAGCATGAGGATGCAGGAGGGGAGGAAAGGAAGTGCACGCCAGGCACACGGCGCGAGGGGAGAGGAGGAGAATGGTAGAACATGTACCCGAGCAGATGTTGCTGACAATGCCAATCGTGGCTGCGCTATCGCAATCTTCTCTGCGTATGGGGACGAAAAGTCGCACCTCGAGGAATCATGGGCAGGGGGGGGAGGTCAGTCTCAGGGGAAACGCCCTGCGTAGGCGGGGCGCCAGCCCACCCGTCGGCGCGCTGGGTCTGCGTCGCGGCCATGCTGACGGGCAGCTTTGTTGGACAGCCGCGCGAGCCAGGCGGTTCCAGGCGAGTGTCGACAGGAGGACGGCCGTCAGGCTGGCAGTCGGGCTGGCCGCGGGGCTGGCCGTCGGGCTGGCCGTCGGGCTTGACGCGGGGCTGGCCGCAGGGCTGGCAGTCGGGCTGGCCGTGGGGCTGGCCGTCGGGCCGGCCGCGGGGCTGGCAGCGGGGCTGACCGCGGGGTAGGCAGCGGAGCTGGCCGCGGGGCTGGCAGTCGCGCTGGCCGTCGGGCTGGCCGCAGGGCCGGCGGCCCAGCGCCAGGCCTGTCGGCCCGCCCGGCACCGTCACTGCAGCGGCGGCGGCCGCCGCCGCGCGGGAGAGGGCGGCCGCCGCGGCCAACAGGCCTGCGGCAGCCGCCGCAGCGGCGGCCTCGGCGGCTGCGCCCGCGGCGCCAGCGGCGCACCGGGCGAAGGCAGCGCGCGCGGCGGCGCCGCGCGGTCCCCCTGGCGCACGCGGCGCCAGCGGCGCCAGCGGCGCCCGCGGCGGCCGCAGCGCGCGCGCGCCAGCGGCGGCAGCAGCGGCGCCAGCAGCGCCAGAGGCGCCCGCGGCCGCCGCAGCGCCGGCGGCGGCGCGGCGGCGGCCACGGCGCCGAGGCACCGGCGGCGACCGCGGCGCCAGCGGCCGCGGCCACGGCCACGGCGCGCGCGGCGCCCGCGGCGCCGGCGGCCGCGGCGGCCCGCGCGCCGGCGGCCCGCGCAGCGGCCACGGCGGAGGGCCGCGGCGGGCCCGCCCGCGCCAAGGCCCGCGGCAGACCGCGCGCGGCCGCGGGGCCGGCAGCGGCGCCGGCATCGGAGGGGCCGGCGGCGCGAGCGGCGGCCGCGGCCCTCTGCTGGCGGCGCCGCGCGGCCGGCGTCTCCATCGCGCGCGGGCCCGAGCGCGCGCCGACCTGAGTCAGCGGCGGGCTCGGGCCGACATGGCTTGAGCCAGAGGGGCTACGGACTGGCGGGGACACGCGGGGCGTCAAGAATTGCCGGCGCTAGAGGTGAAAGATAACACACACACACACACACGCACACACACACGCACAGATGGCGGCAATGGTAAATGGTAGCATGAGAAGTAACAAAGCACAAGATCATGCCCCCTTTCCATATATGGCATGTCGCGTGCACGCTGTGAGCCAGAATGGCAAAAGGCGCGCACGCACGCTTCCACTCGCCCCGGGGCTACCAGGCGATGGAGAGCGCCCCATCCACTGCACTTCGGCCTCATAGGGCCGCCCGCAGGATGTGCCGCCAAGGAATTCACCGCGATGCATCAGCAGAGGTCGCTCGGCACAGCTCACCCATGGCACAGAAGCCTGAGTCCGAACTGAAAATCGTGAGCCCTGGAGAGTTCGGTCGGCTCGTCTGCGGTCAGCACGCAGGAAGCAATGAACTGATCATGACCACGCTGGTGGATCACAACGACACCTCGCAGCACGGAAGCAAGGAGAGAGCCCCGCAAACGGAAGCAGGAGGGCACTGCTTGCCGGGGCCAGGCACAGATCGTGCCCGGCATGCGCTCACGCCGCGGCACTGGTCGGGCCTGCCAGCCAGGTGCGCCCCCTGGCTCTGCAACCTCCAACCTGGCGGCGTCGCCGCTAGCCTTCGGCACTCGCTTGTGAGTGGGCGCCGGCGGGCGTAGCGAGCCGCTGCGGCGCTTGAGCTGCCACGCGGCTGGAGAGCACCCGCGGGCCCTCCTTCGTTGGCGCGCAGACACAGGACGTCAAGCTGTTTGCGGCAGCGCCTCGGGCTATTAGCACTAACCAGTCACAGCCGTCAATTAGTCCACGCGTTGGT